ACACACACACACTATTTTTATCATACGATCCCCAGAATCCGTAAGCGCCGAAGACCCAGTACAGATGAAAAAAATGGACATTGGAAGTGGAGGCTGGAGGGATGCCAGGGCTTCCGAGAACTGTCAAAGGGACCCCCCATGTGAGCGCCCCATTATTCTGTGCATGATGCATTCAGGCGAGAGTGCAAGTACAAAACCGAAGAGCAAAAGGTTTCTCTTGGCGAATTTGTCATCACTATTTTGAACTCAAATCAGCACGGTGTCAAACCATCACCAGCGCCTGAGGTGTCCATGAGAGGGCCTTCCCTGGGGTACGCTGCTTTGAAGGCTGGCCAGTGGAACAGACACTGGCTCCACAAGAACCCCCCTCCCCCTGCTGGGGCAATGCCAATATAAGATCCTGTACACTGCGGGCGGGAAAGCAGTCGCTCGGTCCAACTCCCTCCAATGGCTATTCTGGGGCAAGTGCCTCAATGGGCTTTGTTGTTACGCGCTCATCTGCTGACTGGCTTTTGTTTTGTTTTTTTAATTCGTTATTTTTGTTTTTAACGGCAAGGGAAGAAACACAGCACATTCACAGTACCTCTCAAGGATTCAAGGCCATGCCCGAAGAGAGCTGGGATATGTTCCAGCACGCCCCGTAACCCTTGTGAGGATAAAGCGATTCAGAAAATGGATGGATGGATAAGCGAAGGCAGCAAAAGTCATAAAGATGGAGAAAAAAGAAGGTAGAGAAGTTCTGGAAAACATCATAAGGGGGAAAAAACTTCACCTTAAATCAGGAGTGTCAAACTCATTTCGCATTGTGGGCCACATACGGCCTCGGTAGATGTCAAGTGAGCCGGACAATTGAAATTATACCATACTCTGCTATAAATAACCCAAATAATATGTCTTTGCTTTGTTTTGGTCTAAAGAAGCACAAGAACATTTGGAAAATGTTGACATTTAATGAACATATCTTTTACAAAACATTTCATGAAGCACCTTAGATTTCCTTAGACAAATGTGCAATTTGCTTTTATCATTCAGATATATGCATTGCAAGTGATACCACTGATTGTACAAAGGTATAAAACTAACAAGTAATTGGTATCTTCAGAAGTTCTCCGATGACTCTGCGATTGTTGGCCTCATTACAGAGGGGGACGATCGGGAGTACAAGGGACTGACGAAGGACTTTGTGGACTGGTGCCAGCAGAATCACCTCCAGATCAACCCGAGGAAAACTAAGGAGTTGGTTGTGGATTTCTGCAGGAAACAGTCCTCACCAGCACCGATGAACGGCCATCCATTATGGCATTGTCTGCTGGTCAGGCAGCATCTCGGCCCGGGACAGAAAGAGGCTGGAGAGACTTGTCAGGAAGGCCAGTTCTGTCCTGGGCTGCTCCCTAGACACTCTGGAGGAGGTGGGCAACAGGAGGATGCTAACTAAGCTAAAAGTTATGATGGAGGGTCCCTCCCACCCCCTCCAGCCCGCCCTGAGAGCACTAGGTAGCTCCTTCAGCCAGAGACTGTTACACCCGCGCTGCAAGAAGGAGAGATACCGCCGCTCGTTCCTACCGACTGCTGTCAGGCTGCTGAATAAAAAATAAAATGATGTGCAAGACAATTGTAAATAGCACTGCGACCTTATCCATATCTGTATTTATATTGCACTTAATTGAACGGTGTTTGTTTTCTTTTCTTCTTTCTTCTTTCTACCCATTATCTTGCTGCTGTGGACTGTAAATTTCCCCATTGTGGGACAAATAAAGGATATCTTAATATCTTATCGAAAAATATAGTAATGCACTTTAAGATTAAACGAGATTTATAAAGAAAGGAATTTTTAAACCATTTACACATGTGCATATAAAATCTAAATTCAATCCCTGCCAAACTAAAGAGAGTGCTATTAAATGTTAAAGAATAAAGTATTCACATGTCCTTGATAGCGACTGCTGTGTTGGGTCTGTCTTAGTGACAGACTGAGGCTGTTGTTGTCTTCTTCTCTGATCAAAACAATGTTGTCTTCTACTCTGATCAAAACAGTGTGTCCCCTAGCGGATACTCCATGAATTGCACCTCTTTAAAATATTCATTCTGTGTCTTTCATGCATTTTTCCACTTCTAAATTAGCCTGCGGGCCTGATAGAACCTCCTTGGGGGGGTGGGGGTTCCGGCCCGCGGGCCTTATGTTTGACACCTATGTCTTAAATTAACTCAAACTCACTTTTAGCGCGAGCACCTCACCTTCCATGGTCATGAGGCCTTCAAGACTTTTTGAAAGGGCAATAAATGTAACATTTATTAATTGCCAAACTACATAATATACCTGTATGATGCCTAGCTGAAACAAGAAGGCCGATCCAATGTCCCAATAATGACCATATACTTTTGTCATGAATAAAATTGGTCATTTGCAAATGTTAACCAAGGATGGCTTTTTGTGTGCCTTAATGTATTTTTGAAAGATTCAACAAATATATTTTCAGTTTTTAAATTGGACCTGTAAAAGCTTGCGCAATACGTATTATACCATGTATTGTAATTTTGTTGTTGCGGGAAAAAAATAGCCTGTTGCTGAACTTAAGTCATAAATATCACTCAATATATGACAGTATTATCATTATTATATAGTTTTTATTTTTATGAAATCGATGTGCTCGGTTAAACACAAGTGCAGATCCAGAATCAGTGCTAAAAAAAACACGTATACAAGTTTATTTACATCTCTACTGAAAACATTTAGTAAACGAAAAAAATGCAGACAATTGTAATTAAAATGCATGCTACACAAGTATTCAAAGTCTGCCTTTAAAGACTTGAACTTGTCCTGTACAAAGTTTTCTATTATGGCCAACTTTCAGAGATATGTCATGCAAAATCAAACAACACATGGTCATCGACCTCCTGAGCATGTTTATGTAAGTTTCGTGAGCAGGATTAGCAATTTATGAGCCCATTCAAGTGTGGTGTAATGATGGACTGTTGATTATCACTTAAGAACTGCAGCGTGGATATTCATATCAGTGGCAGATATGACACGTATGTGGATCAAATACTGGACTCAGAGACCCCATATCAGTCCAATTAGAGGCCCATTTGATAAACAGTGTTTTTATGGCTTTAATTGTTTTCAATATCACACATACAGTCAACTCTGATCATAAAAGCATGACTGAAAAAAAAGAAAGCACGATGGCACTGTGCGCTTTCGGTTGAGCCGAGAATGAGGAGGATCCGACAGAAAAGGTTCCCCCGAGGGGCCCCCCGCTAAAAGGCTTAATCTGGCCATTGATGAATTTGTGTTGCGAACTGGAAATATTCCAGGAAGGCCCTGCTTCCCCCCCCCCCACCCTCACCCTTCCCTGCCCCCATCGGGACCAAAATAACAACCGTAGGAGTTGGAAAAGTTGTGAGCACACCATCATAAGAAACCGTAACCCAAAAGAACAAAAGCAATGCTTCAACTTGGGTTGACAATGATGTTTAAAGAGGTGGCACGTGGAGCAAAGTAATATGAATTCGAGGTCAACTTGGATGTGATTTTCCTGACTTGCGTATCTTGTTGACCAGATTTAAAGACTGACTTGTGACACGCACGCAAGTACAACAAAAATAAAAAGAATTAAAGCTCGGCTTGCATGTAATCGTACTATTGCACATACCCTGTAGACGTGCGGTGGATTAATTGTGTCATGTCTGTTTGTTTTGTTTTCAGCCCCAGCTGGAGTGAAGGGAGTTTCCCTCCAGCAGGTGAACCTGTTCCGCGTTTACCAATCAAGCCTGCCATGTATTTAAGGACTGCCAAGCTGCCTAGTCTCTAGTCGGATTATTGACCTTGTTTGCCGTTTATGCACAAGTGTTGTTTTCCCAAACCTCTCCCTCTCATTCATAGTCATTTTGCTCTCTTGGCTCCTCTTTTTGTAAGAATTGGTAGTATTTCGGCTTTTTGATCTTGTTTTTGATGTCATTTGGAGTCTTGTCATTTCGTTTGTATTCTCTGTGTTACTTTACCTTGTCTTTTGCAAGCGCTTTTTGTTTATGCCCTGTTTTTCCTGGCTCCTTGTGACCACGATTTATGTTTCGACGTTGTCAATTGTGCGTTTTTTTATCATAAACATTTTTGTTGTTTGCATTTTGTCTGTGTCTCCATTTTGGGGATCCAAACATTATTCGGTTTGTTCTTGAACCTAGTAAATTGTCGTCCGTACAGGGCTTCCAAAAACCAAAGGCTACAAAAGTAATATGAATTCAAGTTTGACTTGTTACATGCAGAACACATTAGTTTACTATCGGACATAACCCAGTGAACCTGCAGTGGAATGAATAGCTGGGCTTGATTCCCAGGTAGGGGTTCAAACAGTTGAAAGCGTAACAGAATACTGTCATAATGATTCAAGAGGAAGTTAGCACAATTTTATTTACAATAAGTTCCATGCAGCCCCTCTAGTCTAAACACGGCATTCTGATGAAGATTGTGTTTGAAGGATATGAGTTTAGCGACAAAATCCACCCGCTTCTATCCATCTCAGGGGGCGGCCATTTTACCACTTGCTGTCGACTGGAAATGACCTCACAGTTGCTCAGGGTTCAGGTAACGACCCAGCTCAGCTTCAGAAAATAGACCAGCCGTGCTTGGTCGTTGTATGAACCGTTAGGCACTTTGATGTCATTTTTAGTCGGGAGCAAGTGGCAAAATGGCCGCCCCCTGAGATTGACAAAAATGGCTGGATTTTACAGTTTAAATCATATTCCACAAGTGCAGTATTCATCAAGATGGCGTATTTGGACTTGTGGGGCTGCATAGAACATACTATTGTCAAGGAATTTTTGGGGGTTGACTTCCTCTTTAAAGCATGACTTCCACATTATGTGTTTGTGATGGAGACTGTAAAATATTCCCTCCATCACAAGCACACAATCCAATACAATGCCTTTTTATTTATATAGCGCTTTCACAAAAGCTACAGCTGTGTATTCCTTAAACGCCATAAAAACAAAAAAGCGGTTTCAGTGAAACAAGTGCTTTATTTCTTTTAAAAAAAAGTGACATTTCAATACCATAGACACAAAAGTGATGAAAGCACATACTTGTATTCAAAAATAACAACACACCATACAGAATACTGATAATGAGAGAACATTTTAACACGTCGATACACTTACTGCAACCTTGAAGATGGGCAGCGTATGTGTGTGTGTGTGTGTGTGTGTATACGTGAGCTACAAAAATACATTTGCAGCTTCTAGATACAATGACGCTAAAACAAATAGCTTTCTTTTTTTTCTTTTCACAAGAGCGTATAGACATGCACGGCAAGCTATGTGCGCGACCGACTATTTGGGGGCCATTTCCATGGTGGAGGCGTCGTTGGCGCCGTTGACATCGTAGTCGCCCACGGGGCCGCTCACCAGCACCCTCATGCGTTCGGGGAAGTCGTCAAACTTGGGCGACAGCAGGAAGTCGTAAACCAGAGCCGCCGCCACGCCACCACACATGGGCCCAACCCAGTACACCTGCGGTGGATTCACTCGGCTCAGTTCTGATGCAAACGTCGCGAGCGTCACAAAGTAATACTAATTAAAGCTTGATTTGCGATGTGGAATTAATTGGACTCTCTCACGTACCCAGGAGCTCTACAGTGGATTAATTGAGGTTGACTCTGATGCAGGCGTTAAAAAAGTTGCAGGCATAAAAATAACAACAGTAAGAAGTAAAGCTCGTAAGTTGTCTCCAGACATTAGGTGCATTAACCGGGTTTAATTCAGATGCAGAAGTTTAAAAGTTGCAAATGTTATCAAGCAATCGTGAGAATTAAAGCTTGACATCCAGTGTACACATGTTGAGTGCTATTTTATCTCACGTCATGGGTAAACATGCAGTGGCATGTGCAACAAAATAATAGTAAGAGTTAAAGCTTGACTTGTGATGTGCATGTACGTGTTTTCAAAGATTTGAATCGCTCTCATACCCAGTGGTCGGTGAAGTCATTCAGGATCATAGCCGGACCGAAAGTACGCGCGGGATTGATGCCGCAGCCCGTGTAGCTGATCTGGAATCACACACACACACAAAAACCTTCAGTGTCCAACTTCTCCCCCTCCAGGAGAGCAATGCATGCTGGGTAATGCCAACTCACCGCCGCCAAATGTCCGAGGCACACGGAGAGGCCTATGGCCAAGGGCGCCGAGCCGGTGACGTCGCGCCTCCGTTTATCAGTCACGGCGATGACACACAGCACCAGCTGGAAAGTTGCCAGGAGCTCGATGCCCACGCCCTGGCTGGGGGTGATGCCGCTTAGCTGAAAAAAAAAAAAAAAAAGCCCGTTGGTAGGTTTCTAATGCTGTGACTAATGTAGGGCAGCTATCTTGCTGTGCCAGATGCTGATATTGGAGGCTGCAGAAGCTGGGGGACTTTAACTCAGTTGTTGTTTAATGAATAACAGCAGAGCTGGGGAACCGACAGGGAGGGGGTGGGAGGTGGGGGTGCACTGAATGTTATTGATGCCACATTTTGAGAATTGCACGTTGGGCCGGATCAAATAGTCTAGCCAGGGCAGCTATAGCCCAAGAGTTGTAGCTTGCAAGTCTGCAACATTCTTGAAAAGTTTAAATAAATTAAAAAATAAAAATAATAAATTCTCAGAATATGATTTTATTCTCAAACATTCTGACTACCTGCTGGTAAAGAGCCACTTTCTTTTTTCCTTATAAAATGAATGAAAACATATTGTAACACCTTTTTCTTGTAATATTTTTTAAAAGTATCATAAAATCACAACTTTGTCTCGTAAAAACAACTTGAAACGACTATAAAAAAGTTGTTACAGTCCGACACAAATATTTTTTCCTCTCCTAAAATTACAACTGACAATTCATTAAATCTTTAACATTTCATCAATTTTCTTCAAGAAACATTTTAAAATTAAAAATCTGGAATTGTATAAAAATCCTCTTTTTTCTGATTTTAAGATATTACTTTCTGTCTCTGTCACATATTTTCCTCATCAAAGCCAAAACTTAATTCTCTTCCTTCTCGTAATATGAAGACTTAATTTTTAAGATTTTAACATCCTTTTAATTTCTACAAAAATAATTGACATATTTTACATAGTTGGCTCCATCTGCAGCGATCAACTTTTTGGATCCACAACGCGGAAAGTGACCAAACAACAAATTGACTATCAAGGATGTTCGTGAAGACGAACAGGTCACCCTTCCCTCGAGCATTGCATGTTTTGGAACAGAACAGAAAGAGGCTTGGGGCGCTTACCTTATTAAGGCCCAGCTCAGCTGTGGTGGCGGGCCGCGCCCCGTACAGAATGCCGCTGGCGAGGCTGGAGCCCAGCAACTGGGCCACCACGTACGCGACGGCCCGGAACACGCTGATCTGGCAGCTTGCAAGCATGCCCAGCGTGACGGCCGGGTTTAGGTGGGCGCCGCTGATGTGGCCCAGGCTCTGCGCCAGCGTGGCGATGGCCAGCCCGAAGGCCAGCGACACCTTGACCTCTTGACCCGGTGCGCTCGGATGGCCGATGGCCGCCGCGATGCTGAGGAAGATGAACAGGGTCATGCCCACCAGCTCGGCCAGGACGGCCCTCCAGAACGCCTTGCTCTTGAACTCCCTCATGTGGGTGCCCGGAAAGCGTACGCGTGTGTGTATCTGTGTGTCTGCGTGTGTGTGTATGTGTGTGTGTAAGTGAGTGCACAGACCAAAAGCAAGCGGCGTATTTAAGGCCCAAAGGCTGATAATGGTCAGTGGGCGGGCCTCAGAAAACTGAAAGGGCCACACTGAATTAATGAGAAATTGAAAAGACCTCCTCCTCCGGCCCCTCACCCAGCGCCTCCCAATAAACTTCGCAACTTGAAGAGAATCCTGCCTTGTGAAAGCGAGTTTGAACCCCCACCCCCTGACACCGTCACTAAAAGTCCAAAACAGAACAGTAATGTGTTAATAATACATTTCGGTGATAGTTGTTTCAAGTGAAAACGAAAATCAATTGGCGGGAGTCGCAGAACAAAGGTAGTCACTCATTAACCGCAGGGACGAGCGCTAAATCAGTATTCGATGTTGCGTGGGTCGGCGCAAGCAGAGCGAAACGAGGTGAAACATCAACGCTTGAGAAAGGAGCAGCCGCCTGCACCTGGAGCCCCGAACTCTGACGCGGGGCGGAGGGAGCGAGTGTAAGATTTTCAACAGGACAGCAACCAACAATTTGGTGCAAGCACATGTCATGGAATTGAGTGGCACGTGCGCAGGTGTGTGGTCACACTTCAAGGAGGTCGTGTCGGACATGTCTTTATGACTCGGGCTTTGATACAAGTTGTAACCTTCCGACATCAGAGTCAGAGTCAAACCTGACTCCAAAGTGTGTTTTTATTTCAACCGCTTGCCTGCTGTGACCTTTAATTTTTTTCACTTTCTTTTTTTTAAATGCTCTGTTGCCCATTGAGATTTCATTGAACTGTGAAGTGCATTACAAATAAAATCACTGATGACTATTATTTTATTCAGTTCTGAACAAAAAAGGAGACATCAACTAACTCAAAATTTTATGATTATTGAGGTTCTATGTTTGTCCTGGATATCATTCCAAATCCGCCCAAAAATTAGACCTACTCAAGTTGTAGTATACTGTACTAAGGAAGTTCTCAACCCAATCAAGCACAACAACTCTGCTATGTTGTTTATGTGATTGTTTATCTGAGAAGAACAACAACAAAAATAAACACGACAGTTATTTGCAGGTCGGCACACAAGGGGAAAAGAAAAACAAAACATGAATATGAAAAAGTGCAATTTATGTTTTTTTTCCTTTGGAAGAATTGTTCATTCTTTGGATTCTTCCTGTATTATTATTATGATTATTTCCTGTATATTTTTTTATGTTATCAGCATTTTTGGGAAAAAAAGTATTAGTTTTGACACACACACACACACACACACACACACACACACACACACACACACACACACACACACACACACACACACACACACACACAGTGCTGTAAAAAGTATTTGCCCCCTTCCTGAGTTCTGTGTTCTTATTTATCACACACAAAGGTTTCAGTTCATCAAACCAATTTTAACATCACACAGAGAATAGAGGAAATAAAAAAATGCAATTTCTAAATGATGATTTCATTTACCAAGGGGGAGGGAAAACATTTAAAATCAATTTCACAGGCAACACTGTTGCACCACATTTATTGAATAAAAAAAAAATCACTTAAATAGAATCTGTCAGACAAAGTGAAGTAGGCTACAAGTTCTCAAGCAACAAACGCATCACGCCACGATCCAATGAAATTCAAGAAGAAAAAAAAATCATTTAAATCTATCAGTCTGCAAAAGGTTACAAAGCCATTTCCAAGACGAACCACTGTCAGAGCCATTCTCCACAAATGGAGGAAAATGTGAACATTGGCAAACATTCCCGGTAGTGGTTGACTAGCTAAAATTACTCCAAGAGTGTGATGACGACTCATTCAGGAGTCAACCTCGCTGGCCCCAGTTCAGGTCAGTGTTCACGAGTGTACCATAAGAAAGACACTGACCAAAAATGGCATCCATGGGAGAGTTCCGAAGCGTAAAACCAATGCTGTCCACAAGGAACACAAAGGGTTGTCTCACATTTGCCAAAAGACATCTTGATAATCGTCAAGACTTGGAAAAACATTCTGTTGACTGATGAGTCAAAAATTGAACTTTTTGAAGGATGCGAGAGCCCTTACCTCTGGTGTAGAAATAGCACAGCATTGGATTGAAAAGAACATGATGCCAACAATGAAGCATGGTCGTAACAGTGTGATGGTCTGGGGCTGCTTTACTACCTCAGGACCAAGACAACTTGCTGTGATTGATGAGATGAATTCTGCTGTCTACCAGGAAATCCTGAAGGAGAACGTCCAACCATCAACCATCAATTTGCGCCCTTTAACGCAAGTCCTCTTAGATCATGCAGCAGGACAACGATCCGAAGCACACCGGTAAGTCCACCTCTGAATGGCTCAAAAGTTTTTTTTCTTGGAGTGCCCAACTCAAAGTCTTGATTTGAATCCAATTGAGATGCTGTGGTGTGACGGTGTGTTCATTCGAGAAAACTGTCCAATATGGCGGAATAGAAGCAATTCTGGGAAGAGTGTGCCAAAATTCCTCCACTGCAATGTGAATGACTTATCACCAATTAAAGCAAACTCTTGATTTCAGTTGTTGCTGCCAAGGGTGGCACAACCCATAACTAGGTTCAGGGGAAAATTACTATTTCACATCAGGACAGATAGGTTTAGATTTTTTTTTTAGAAACTTCATTTTGCATGCATGTGTGTGTGTGTGTGTGTGTGTGTGTGTGTGTGTGTGTGTGTGTGTGTGTGTGTGTGTGTATATATATAAAATGTAAAAAAAATATATTCTTGAGACGTATTTGAGGAAAACAGAGAAGACCACATCCGTGCTAACTAAAAGTGACACCATGCCACGTTTTATAAGCTTCTCCATGTATCTCCAAGTGACCCTGCAGTGGTCAGATCAGAAAAAAACGAAGTGATGTCTTGTAAATTTTTCTGGCCATGCAGCGACGGGTGAGCGAAGAGAGTGGAGGGTTAGAAGCGGTCGAGGCCGACCACTCTAATGTGCAGCGACCCGCAAAACCGCCCGTGACAGACGGGGACTCATTGTACTAATTGCTCCAATGTGTCCTCACTAATAACAAATACTGGGCAGTATGTCTTCCATCTCTCCTGGCAGAAAAATAAAACAGAAACAAGATAGAGGACAGCACAAAGAGGAGAGAAAATAACCTGTGTCAACTCTCAACTCACTGGCGGGAGAGACTTCGTAGCAAGGCTTTCATAAATTGGATTTGGCGCCACCTTGTGGCACACTGGTGCTGAAGATCAATGTTGAATTGGGTTGTGAAGATTTGTTTCGATAAAAGTAGTGCTTTACTGCCATTGTGTAGTATCTTGCTGCCTGAGGAACCGTGCAGAAGTGAGCTGAGGAGCTTCATTGTGACAAAAGTAAAATACAGCCATAATTTTATCATGTTACATGAATAAAGAGGTCATTACAAGAGAGTAAATACTAAACATATTTCATGTGGGTGAAAAAAAAATATTAAGAGATTAAAGTTGACAATGTCTTAAAAACTTAATATCCAGTTTCAGTTTATGAGAAAAAAAATCTGCATTTTTCAATGACAAAGTTATTGTCAGGTTAAAGAGAATTTGCAGTTGTTCTAATTTTGTGCGACTTGTAAAAACAAAACAAAAAATCGTTGTTTGACAAACCTGCAATTTTATGGTAAAATTTGTAATTTTACCATAATTGTATAAACTTGATAACAAGGTGCCATCCTAAAATGAAAATGACATGATGACATTAGCAGAATAAATGTAAATGTAATTTTATAAGCAATGAAAAATAAAATCTGACTTTTACAAGAAAAAGTTTGAATTAAACATCTTTTCCTTTCAAGAATAAAAACTTCTCGTGAAACGTCCTGGGCCTCACAAGAAAACTTTCCCTTGAGCACAAGAAACTCATACTGACAACAACAAAATGTATGAAGAAAGTTCTTTCCAAGAATAAATATGTATGATAATGAGAAAAAGTTGTTTTTAAATATTAAAGGAAAATAATCTTTAAAGAATAAGTGACAACATTTTTTTGCAGTTATTTTTTGTCATTTGAACAAAAAATGACTTCATTTATGATGAAAAATATTCCACAATTTTTCGGCATGCTTTTGTACTGAAATGAGAATAAAGTCCATACAAGGTGGGAGCACAATCACGTGCCAGACCATCTTTTGTACTGCACAAGGAACTCTTTGACAACATGCGCTAAGGCAGAAGATGCGATTTCCTTGCCTTGGGCGGAACTGCTGTTTTGGCTAGCAACCGAGTTCAAATGGGTTCACGAGACGCACTATGTTGCTTCCCTCTCCTTGCCAGGGATGAAATGTCTTTTGTCACGTGTTGCCCGCTGATAGTCGTTCCTTCTGTTGTTGTTTCCTCATCGCCAACGCACGTCGACCGGCAAAAGGTGCACTCGCATCCTGCCAAAGGGCATTGGGGTGCTTCTCGTTGTCTACCCCCCCCCCCGCTCCGCTAGCCCCCCATAGGTTGCTAGTGCGCCCTGCCCTGCCTGAGTGCACTCCCCACCGCTCCCTCCCTCTAACATCGCTCTTCTGAATACTGTACATAAATCCTCTTCCCATCCTCCACTGGAGGTAACCTCAGTCAAGGACTCCCCCCTCAAGGGAACCCCCTCCCATGAGTTAAACTCCCACAATGCCTAAACTTGCCCCCTGAGGTTTACACTAAACCTTGTAAAAAGATTAGAGATGTCAAGTAAAACGTGATGAATTGGGGAAAAGCCCAGTAATGGACCTACCAGTAGCCCAGCGTTTTTCAACAAAAATGTGCTGACTTGTTAAATGCAAAACTTCAACTGGCAATGGAACACTAATGTTTTGCATCTAACACTTGTGGGAGCCAAAGTGTGATTCACAATTGCAAAAAAAAAAAAAAAAAAAAAAGATGAGTTAACAGCAAGAAGTCAGTAGACGTAGGCAAGACCTTTGGAAGGCTCCTCATTCTTATCTGAAGCACCTCAGAGGTGCCGAGTTGTGAAAGATTTCAAACGTATTCAAGATAAATGGTGTTTTCAATCTACTGGCCGACTAAAATGCACTGACAGCATTGTGTTTAACTGTTGAGCCCATTTGAACTCTGTTGCTAACTAAAACCAAGGACCCTATTGGTAGATAATTTTTTGAACCACCTATTCAGTGGAAACTCATCTATTTGCTGTTTTTCCTTCGGCCAAAACAATTGCTTTTGCATCATCTGGTGGCATGCTAATGCAAAGGAAAGATTGGAGTGCATTGAGGAGCATTACTTCAAACAAAGCGGAGTGGACACTTCCATACTTGTTATTTGGCACCAGCAAATTTGGGTAATCCTGGACTGCCCCCTCAAAAAAAGAAATATATTTGTTGTTATTAGTGTTTTAATTTTTTTTTTTTAAATCCCGGTATCTCCCCCATGTTTCTTAGAAAATGGACATTGAATGTTTATCAGTGATTTTTAAATAATTATTTGGGGG